GCATCACTTTTCTCCCCCTTATTTGGGGGTAAAAGGCCCCCGGGGAGAGGAGGGGGACCCCGGCATCTCTCCTGGTGGCAGGAGGGAGGGGGTGGCTGTGGGGTGCAAAAGCCCCGCCGGGTTTGGGGGGAGAGGGGCCGGAGGGACCCGGGCGCTGTGGGCAGAAGGGAAGGGTGAGTTTGGGTTTTTGTCTTTGTTTTTGTTATTTTTACCTTCTGTTCTGGTACCACGTTTTCACCTGCGTGTCGGTGAGGTTGAGGGAAGCTGCCAGCTCCATCCTGTCCTGGACGCTCAGGTATTTTTGCCTCTCGAAGCTGCGCTCCAGCTGGGCCAGCTGATGGTCGGTGAAGGCGGTGCGGGCTTTGCGCGGCTTTTTCAGCCGCACCGGGGGACTGTCCCGGGAGCTGGAGATCTCTCGGTCCCCTTCTTCTTTCACTGGGCAGAGAGGGAGGAAGAAAGACCGGGTCAGGGCAGGAAGGGAAAGGAAATACCCTCAAAAGAGGGGGCTAACCCGCTGCAGCCATGAGCCGGAGGAGCCGGGCTCAGGCACCGACCCGGACTCACGGCGCAAATTTACTTTACAAACCCATCAATTTTAACCCCGGTTGCCCAAGGGGGAATCAGGGGGTCCTCGAAGCGGACCCGGCCTTTCCCTGTCCCAGGGGCCTGGGAGCGGGGCTGCGGGGAGCCCCGGCCCAGCCCCGCTGCGCTCCTGCCCGCAAAAAAAAACCCCGCATCTCCCTCAGCCCGCATTTCTCTGCTGGGACCCTGCTCCGGGTTTGTTCCCCAAACCCCAGCAGCTTTCTCGATGCTTGAATTTATTTTTTTCACCAAACCCCAGCAGCTTTCTCGATGCTTGAAGTTATTTTTTCATTCCTCTCTCTCTTTTTTTTTTTTTTTTCCCTTTTTAAACCCTAAACCAAAACTAACCCAAAATAAAAATTGTGAGCCCGCATTTTTGGGGAGGAAAGTGACCGCGGTGGGGCTGGTTCTACCCCCTCCGCGGAGAAGCCTCCGTCCTCCCGGGGCGCGGAATCTAAACCAAAACTAACCCAAAATAAAAATTGCGAGCCCGCATTTTTGGGGGGAAAAGTGGCCGCGGTGGGGCTGGTTCTACCCCCTCCGTCCTCCCGGGACGGGAACAAACCTCTCCGGGGCGCACAACGAAATACCGGGGAAGGGGCTCCACAAGCCCGTGCCCGCGCTGTTATTTATCTTAAAAAAATTGCAGAATGAACCGGGCTGGCGGCGGTTCGTTAGCGCGGCCGGTACATTACGCACCGGCGGAGCGACGCGGGAATTTACATTAATAGGTGACAACAAACCTCTCCGGGGCGCACAACGAAATACCGGGGAAGGGGCTCCACAAGCCCGTGCCCGCGCTGTTATTTATCTTAAAAAAATTGCAGAATGAACCGGGCTGGCGGCGGTTCGTTAGCGCGGCCGGTACATTACGCACCGGCGGAGCGACGCGGGAATTTACATTAATAGGTGACAGGAAAATATCCGAGAAAAAAAAAAAAAAAGAAAGAAAAAAAGAAAAAGGAAAAATAAATCTCTGTTTGTGCTCGCCTTCCCCATCCTCCTGGAGGAGATTATGTGGCAAAAAGTCTCAGTTTATACAAAGCGGCGGCGTTTGGTTGTTTTTGATTTTTCTTTATTGTTTTGTTTTGTTTTTTACGGGGGTTTATGTTAAAATTTGCTGGTGGCGGGGGCTGGAGCCGAACGCGAGCTGGTTCCTCTCTGTAGGAAGACAATAATCCGGTTAATTGAGCCACCGGGGAGTGAAACCCTTCGACCAGAAATCCCGGCTCTGGCCGAGCAGACAGAGCCCCAGCCGGGAACCAGCCTTAAAACACGGAGACCCGGCTCCGGTTCCCGGTGAAAGCGGCGGCCCCGGGACGGGACCGGGGGATGGGGGGGGGCGGTCCCGGGGTCCCGGCCCCGCTTCCTCCCGGGGAAGGCCCGAAACTTTGTGCGGAGTTTTGCGGCGGAGAAAAGCCGGGTCCAACCTCCCGCGCCCAAGGGGGAGGCGAATCCCCCCCCGGCCCCCGAATGGCCCTGGGCTCCTCAAAAAGTTCCTACTCGCCAAAGGGATGCGCTCGGTGGCGGCAGCGGCTTCCCCCGCCGGCTCCGGCTCTCTCCCCCGTTAGTCCTAGCTTAAAAAAAATAATATATATATGTATATAAAACGGGGTTTTCGGCATTTTGGCGTGGGCCAAATCCTGCCGCCGCCGCTGCGGGTTAGGCCCGGCCCCGCAGCCCCTTTGCGGGGTAAATTAAGGGCGTTTTGGCCCAGAAGAAGCAATTTTCAAAACAGCAAAAAGGGATCTCGTTGGGAGCGTGGTCCTTCGCCCGCTACCCCACTGAAGCGGTGTTTTTACCCTCATCTAAGATGTGGTTTCCTCCCCATTTAAGCTGTAATCCCCCCCCCCCAAACTGTGTTTTTTACCCCTTTTAAGCTGCGTTTTTCCCCCGATTTAAGCTGTGTTTTTCTCCCTGTTTAAGAGCTGTTTTTTTCCCCTACTTAAGCTGCGTTTTTCCCGTGGCAGGGGCAGGCGAGGAGCCGAGCGCGGCCGCGGTAACGGCCCCCACCCAAAACGGACGCCCCCAGCCCGGGCTCGGCCGCCTTAGGGGGGTGCGGAGAACCCGCATTTCTTCTTCTCCCTCGCCTCTTTCGCGGCTCGGCGATTTGGGGAGAGGGGAGAAAAGCCGAAGGAATTCGGGGAGGGGGATGTAGGAGGCGAAAACAAACCGCCGAGGTGGGAATCGCGGCTGGTTTCGATCCCGGCCCTTAAAAACGGCGGGACCGATCCCAGCCCCTCTCCCGGGTCACTTCCAGCCCCGGTACCGACCGGGGGTTCCGTCCTTCGTTCAGAGCGAAAATCCCCCCGCGGTGCCCGGCGTTTGGAGGCTCCTTTGGGCCAATGTTTTTATTTCCATGAACCGGTTTCAGCGCGGCGGCTCCGGGCGGGCCGAGAGGAATTTGCAGCCGGGCCGGGGCTCGGCCCGTTCCCCCTTTTCATACCAGCCCCCACAAATCCAGCGGCTCCATTAGGTGCCATCACCTCCCCTTTCTCCCCCCGAGCCGTGTCCCTTTGCCTTCCCTTCGCAAACACCCGGCAAACAATTTTCCCAGGTGAAAGTTTTTGCAGGGGTGATGGGGGTGGGATGGGCGAAGGTACGCGCGACAAACTGCTCCGGGGAACCAGGACCGACCCCGGTTCCCCCCTCCCCCGTGCTGTTCCCGTGCCTCGGCTGCCTCGGGAGGAGGCCGGGAAGGGGCTACCGGAGGCCCGGGAGGCCGAAGCCCCCGGCCCGGGGCGAGCAGCCGCCGCATCCAGCTCCAGTCCCCGCCGGCGCCGTGGATGCGGCCCGGGGCTCCCCGGCTGCCGTGCTCAGTTTTAAACCATCTCCAAAATGATAACAGAAATAATACAAATCGAATCCAACCCTGCTGACTTTCTTGTTTGTTTCTCACCGGAGCAGAGGAAATACCCGGCAACAAACCCGTGATTAACCAGGACCGACCCCGGTTCCCCCCTCCCCAGTGCTGTTCCCGTGCCTCGGCTGCCTCAGGAGGAGGCCGGGAAGGGGCTACCGGGGGCCCGGGAGGCCGAAGCCCCCGGCCCGGGGCGAGCAGCCGCCGCATCCAGCTCCAGTCCCCGCCGGCGCCGTGGATGCGGCCCGGGGCTCCCCGGCTGCCGTGCTCAGTTTTAAACCATCTCCAAAATGATAACAGAAATAATACAAATCGAATCCAACCCTGCTGACTTTCTTGTTTGTTTCTCACCGGAGCAGAGGAAATACCCAGCAACAAACCCGTGATTATTTTATCTTTGTTTTCTTTTTTTTTTTTTTTTTTTTTTTTTTTTTTTTTTTTTTTTTTTTTTTTTTTTTCTCCCAGGCAGAAACCCGCCTCCGGTTCTCCTCTCCCCTCTCCCCGCCGGTAGGAACGAAACGACCGGATCTTCCCCCGCGGAAAACAGCCCGGCGGATTCCCCGGGCGCGTTTGGGGAAACATCGATCTCTCCAACCCTTTCCACGGAGGCAAGGACAGAGCCCCATCGAGTCCCGACGCCCCAAGTTTTCCCAAGTTAGTGCCGACCCCGCCGTCATTTCGGGGGCGACCGGTACCGCGACCCCCCCATCCCCGGAATCGTCTCCGCAGCGAGCTCCGGGCTCACCGGGAGGCTTCGGGGCCGCCGGAGGCTTTGGGTCCAAAGCAAAGCCCAGTGGGGCGAGCGGCTCTTTCTTACCTTTGTACTCGGAGTCCGAGGAGGAGCTGCTAGTGTTTTTTTCCATTTTCTCCCTAAAGTCCTCCCCGGGTTTGGTGGGGATCCTGCCCGCCGGCTCCTGAGGTCCATTGGTGCTGGAGTAAGGCGCGCAGGCGGCCAGGGGCTTGCAGTCGGCCAGGATGTCTCTGATGAGGAAGGAGGAGGTGACGGTCCGGGACTGGGAAGGAGCCGAGACCTGTCCCGGCTGGAGATGGGCATCCAGGCCCGGCCGCGGCCCCGCCGCCTCCAGGCACTCGCGGCCCGGTGAACGGGGCGAGGGGCACCCGCTGCTGCCCTCCGAGCGGGGGCTCAGCTCCAGCGGGGACCGGCCGTCGCCCACCAGCGGGTCCCCCTTGGGCACGGCCGGGCTGCCGGCTCGGTGGGAGAGGATGGAGTCGATCCCAAAGCCGGTGGAGCCCTCCATGGCCCCCGCGAGGTGCCGGCGCTCACACGGGCATTGGCGGGGAGGGAGGGCGCGGCGGAAGCGGTTTGATAATGATAATTAACAATAACAGGAGGGGAGGGAAAAAGAAAAAAAGAAAAAGAAAAGAAAAAGGTAAATTTTTTTTTTTTAAAAAATAATGAATAGAGCAAAGTTCAGTCTGGGATCCGGGCAATAATTGCTGCAAGGCTCTCCGAGGCGCCGCGCGTTAGATCCAGGGCTGCTCCGTCTTCAGCATCGCGCCCAGCTGCACTCACAGACAGACAGACAGAAGAGGGGGGGAGAGGGAGGCAGAGTCAAACTTTGGCCGCGAAGGGGATGGGGGTGAAGGGGGACGGACCCCAACCTCACCCGGGGTCCCGGCCCCCTTACCCGGCCACCCCACCCTTGCCCGGAGCCGCGGGGCTGGGGGGCAGCCCGGGGTCTCCCAGCCGGAGGTGGGGAGGCAGCGATCGATAGTGATGCTTCGCAGCGCCTTAACCACTTAATGATCCAGAAATCAATGGGGAAGGGCGAGGGGAGGGCGGAGGGGGTGGCCAGCCGTCGGGCCGCCGCGGCGCCCCCCCCCTTCCCCGCCAACACCTCGGACAGCCCCGAGGGGGGGGGCGGGAAACCGGAGTCACTCCGGAGTCGGTGGCGCCTTCAGCACCTCGGACAGCGCCCGGCGCCGGAGTCACTCCGGAGCCTTCAGCACCTCGGACAGCGGCGAGAGCGCCTCACCCACCGCGGGGGGGGGGACGGAGGGAAATGGGGGAAAATAGGGGGAAAAAAATGAACTTGTGCCACTCTGGTTCGGGGACCCAGGCACAGCCCCCCCACTTCTCTCCCCCCCTCCCCCCCCAACGG